GAATTAAAGAAGAGTTATACTGAATGGACTAAACGAGACTGTGGGTATTTCCATTCAGCAGGGATTACCTTCATGTATGGTTTGGGACAAATGCAGACATGCAGTCTGCAGATGGCATTCTTCGACTTTTTAGTATACCCGGTAAGTGGTTTTTTTTTTTTTTTGCAGTAGTTTTAGGTTTCAATGCCTGGGACTGGCCACTAAGCCTACTAGCTATTAGTATGAACCCATTACTATTGACGGACTCCAGCTATCAGGTTGTTGAAAATATTTCTATTAAACAATTAGATTATAACCTCGAGATTTCTATGAGGTGATAGTTGATGAGGCCGAGGTTGAATCAACTTTCACCTCATAGAAATCGAGAGCGGAATAATCTAATTGTTTTAGTAGAATTCTAACTGAAATTGACGACAGTAACGGTTTTCCGGTGACGTCATTGTTACGATCTTCGAACAGCCGCCATATTGGATTTCCGGTTATTGAGTTGCGGAGTGGCGCAAAGACTGGCTCGGACATTCCTGATAAAATTAGAGTTAGTCCCAAAGTGTAACTACCGTACCCTAACTGCTCTCTAAGCAAGAAACCTTTAAAATCAGAGAGCATATTGCCTTAATAGGGTTAATGGGAGAAATATAAAGCCCTTTGCAAGCCGATGGGCAGTGTAAAACAAACCTTTCCACTGACAACATCTTCCAGCCAATCTTTCTGTTCTTCACGGACGAAATCGACTTGGAGGAAAATTTTCAGCTTATTTTCGAACAATTTTGATTCAGTGTTACCATAACAACCGACCTTTAATGGTTAATGGGAGAAATATAAAGCCCTTTGCAAGCCGATGGGCAGTGTAAAGCAAACCTTTCCACTGACAATATCTTGCAAGCAATCTTTCTGTTCTTCACGAACGAAATCGACTCGGAGGAAAATGTTCAGCTTATTTGCGAACAATTTTGAATCAGTGTTACTATAACAACCGACCTTACGCCCCTGTCATAATCACACGTCTCATCAAATCAACAACTGGAGATTGGTGATAATAACCGTCAAAATGAACCAATCAAAGGTATAGCAGAATCTGATCCCGGAAAAAGCTTTTGTTCAAAAAGGGTCACAGGTATTCTTTTGCCCTCTTTACGCAAACCTCTCGCATGTTTTCACTGGCTTTCGTTCGCGCTACTCCTTAACCTAGAACAGCCTTCTCCGAAACTTTCTCCAAAGTAATAGTAGCGATAAAAGGGTGCAAAGTAAACCAGTTTTATTAAAACGGAGGAAAATTCAAAATTTGAGAAAATGCCTGTCAAAATATGCTTTCCGGAAAACCTCAAGTCACGTGAATAAAAACACTTCGGGACAGTCTTTATTAAGGTGATTCCTTAGTATTCCATTGCGCAACCCTCCCGTGCAAGATTTTTGCGTCATTAGCGCGCGCACATGAGCGCGTGTGCGTACAAGACGTAAGAGATTTCTCTCAAACTAAGCCCACTTTTTATTTCATAATTTCAATGAGAACAATATCCTCAATAACTGAGAAAAAAATCAGCAGAAATCTATGGCTACTTTTTTGGCAAATGAAATAAATACTACAGAGGGAGACATAACGGGCCCAACAGCACATGTCCAAATTATGCAGAGCATCTGAAGCAGGGTATCTGAAGACATTTTTTCTGGGACGTAGATGAATAAGCAATCAAAGAAAGTCAAAATCTGTGTGATATAACACGCCACATTGGAAAATAATAGAGCTTATTTGTTGCGCAGGGAGATTACCAAAAGTCACCTAAATAACCGTATTTGTCAGCATTGTGGAGTGAAAACAAGCACAGTGACCCCCTCTTTTTACTACGTTTTTAATATCTTCTTGTCCAGTAACAACAGCATACCAAGTTTCACCGGAAATCTATGGCGGGTTCTTTTACTAGGGAATCACCTTAAGTAAAATCGTTT